CCCTTTCCATTTTAAAGGCATCATATTCCGAACAAATGGCTCAACCATTAGAGCCACCTATTGGCTATATATCATCTTCAAACCTTTTGTCCCTGACTTCTGTATCATACACTTGAGAAACCCTTTATTCAGAAAATATCCCCACTCCCAATACTAACATTTCGGTCGTAGACTTGGTCATTGTGTACAACAATATCCCATATCAAGAAGGTATTGAGGCCTGCAGCTCAATCAACAGAAGCCTTGCACCCCACAACAAAAAGCCAAATCTTAGAAATTTATAAACAGTTGCACCTAGTCCTTATTCTCAATAGTTTGTCTCATAACTGCATAAACTTCTCCACTTGATCGGTACAGATCTGGGTTCTACGGTAACCTCCTCCTATGCCAACATTTTTGTGGCTGAATTTTGGCGCAAACACCTTTCCTGCATTCCCAACCAACCCTTTACATGTACACGATACATGGACAATGTTATTACCCTAAACTAGGGTAGCTTTCAAACAGTTCAGAGGTTTTTCACTGACCGTAACAACGGACACAAAAGCTTAAAATTTTCCTACTCAAACCAAATGATTAAGTCCACCTCTTCCCTGGACCTTTCTTTTGCCTGTGAAGATAACACAATTGATACAGACCTGTTAAAAAAACAAGAGACCTACTAAACTGACTCCAGTTGTTCCTTCCACCTTTTTCAAATATTCCGTTATATGGTCAATGGTGGTGCGCTTAGACTTCGCTGCATTTATTCCCGTGAAGAATGTTTTGATATGTGGATACAGAGAAGCTTACAGTCAACCTTATACATAGCCGACACCACAGAAATATTATTTCTCCTGTCATCAAGAAAGTCAGCAGACTCAACTGCAGAGACCTGCTAACTTTCAAACCCCGTAAATCCAACAAGAAAAAAGTACTCTTTGTCACGACCCAGCATACTGTCCGCCAATGTCCATAAAATCCACAGCCAACACAAACACAATTTGGAACAATCAAACAAATTTTTCTCCCCCACATCCACCCCCGCAAATAAATGCAATTCGCCTACCCCGTATCCTTGGCAACTTCCTCATTCTCACAAAATTATTACTCTCGTCTTCTCCTCCAAAGAACCCCAGAATCCCGCCTCTAAACCATCCTTGTCATAAACCCAGTTGTAAAAAGTGCATTCTTGAAAGTAACCAAATATGTAAAAGGCATCCATTATAAGGAAATTCTTTCTCTCAGAATCACATGTGAAACTAGAAATGGTGTCCATCTCATTACATGTAAAGTCTGCTCTTCTCAGCATGTAGGTCAATCCACTACCACCACCCTTATTGCTAGATGTAATAACTCCAGATAGCCAGTGCAGAAAATTAAAGCACGTAAGTTTAGTTAGCCAACATTAAACTATGGAGCCTCTGATTTTTTCAGCTTCAGTGTATTGAGATCGTCCAAAACCAAACTAAAGAAAAGGCCAAGCATAGGGAATCAACATGGATATGAAACTTAGGATCCCAGTAGGTTTTTATTTTACCCTGTCCTGACAGAGAGTGAGCGGGCGAAACATTGAACATTCTTTTATTATACCAGAATATTTCCCAACAGATCCAAGTCTCCAAACTTTTTCCTTCAGTTTCTTTTTCTTTTTTTTTCTTTGGTACTACAATGTATATGACGCTGATGATGATGATGACGATGATGATGGTGATGGTGATGATGATGATCTTCTGTGTTAAGCCAATTACCCCGATACTACACAGCGCTACATTAGTTTCACTTTCAGTTGCTCCCGAGGAAGCCTGTGGAGCAGATTCAATTATAAAACAAATTTTAAACATTTTATTTTTATATTTTTGTTTGTAAATCAAGCAAGACTCTCTCTACATACTCTGCTTTTTAAACAACGATGATGATGATGATGATGATAATGATGATGATGATGATGATGATGATGATGATGATGATGATGACCAAAACGTATTTGCAGATGAGAAGAAAAAACAGACAGAAGTTGAGAGGAACTTATACACGGGGAGGAAGGTGCTGATGATAACATTTTCTTTCTTGTTTGATAGAATCTTTATCACATCATCACGTTTGTGTGACTGGATAGTTGACATAATTTATCGGTATTTTTTTCAGCAGCTAACAAGCACAATGCCCTCTTCCGTCGCTCTATCATTAACGTCGGAATGCTCGGATTCTGTAGGGAAAAGACTGTGACTGTGACTGAAGCCCCTAGCCATTGGTGTCCTTCCAGCCTCAATGGCCTCCTGCCCAGCGAACACTGTCTCGCCTCACGTGAATTTCTTAACTTCTCAGGAACTCAGGAAGCTATTGGATGAGAGTGTCTGCTCTACTCAGGTATGTTTTCGAGTTATAGTGTAACGAACGCATATAAACTTGTAAAACACACAGACATAAACACAGATACACACACACGCTCACACACACACACACACACACACACACACACACACACACACA